CATATGACCTCTCCCCACCTGGGTCCCCAAGCATATTATGACCCCCAAATGCATGTTCTGCCAGGCTGCCACGAAGAAAAACACTTTGAGGCCTTGGACACCTTGCTACAGATCACCAAATGCCTGGTGCAAATGGTGACAAACGTTGGGACCGTCTTGCGCGGGAGGATTAGGTCACTCCATTGGTCTCTCGGAAGTGGAAGAAATGGAGCACCAATCTGTAGAGGAAAATGCTGGAAAATGGCCATTCCAAATCTTTGGGCCATTCCATCCACCTCCACCATGACGATTCCAGGAGGTGTGAAAACACCATCTTCCTACCGCAAGGTGAAGCCGGGGAATCACGCTTTTCATGGTCGTTGTCTCACACCTGAACGGCACAACGACCTGGAGTTCAGGGGGGCGCCAAGCTTCAAAGCTCTGGGACGCTGGAAGCTCTTTCTGGGGGGAACTGATCAAATCAGCATGGCAAAGAAGTGGAAGTTGCTGTCCTTTTTTCACCACATAGTTTACTGTTGGGGTTCTCTCTTAGGAAAAAGGGCTGGCCGCACCCCTGAACTCTGTGTGGTCTTATCCTCCTAACTCTAGTCCTCCTCTTGTCCTGCTGTCGGCCTCTTGCCGTGCTGGCCAGCCCTGTGTCCTCCTCTTGTCCATCTCTTATCCTCCTCTAGTTCTCTTATCCTGTTGTTGTTCTTTGGCCGCGCTGGATAACCCTGTGTCCTCCTCTTATCCTCCTCTTGTCCTTATCTTTTTGTCCTCTGTTGTCCTCATGTCCTCCTGCTGTCGTGCTCTTTACGCTGCTGTGCGAGGCAGGGAACAACAATTCTTACCAACTAACCTGTTTGGGGTCTATGCTTGTATAATTGTTGATCAACACTTGGACAACAAGAGCAGTGCTTATCATGTCATCATAGCCCTCATCCACATGTTTCGCTGGAAAGACATGCCGAGGTCAAGTCTGTCTCGGCCTTTGCTTAGCTTCAATTGAACAAAACTCCATCACCAACTTCAGCATCTTTGCCAAAGGCAAGCATTGGATTTGGAAGGCCCAACTTGGTCCTTTTCCTCGCTTCTTTTAAAAGCAGGACCTCTCCCAAATCCCGTTCCGGTCCCAAAAAAGACGGTTTGTCCTATTTTTCAGCCTGGCTACAAAGCTGCTGGAAGACGATCCAGAACCACTTCCAGCAACACCTGCCACAGCCCATGGACCGAACCCACAACATCGGGCGTGCCCAAGCCGAAGCCGAGGCCGCAGGTGTTCCGCAGCTGGATCCGGACCCTCCAAAACCAGGGTTGGGAGGGGCCACCAAAGCCGGTTGTAGAGGGTTCGACCCCTGGTATGGAGGGTCCGGACTCGGATCCTTAGGGTGCATCTACATGACGGCTCATAGCCGTTCTAACTCCGTTGGTACTGGGATGATCCTGGTGGAAACACCTCCCAGCTCGAGCGCCGAAGGATGAGGCAGACCATCAACAGGCACCCATCAGGGGTTCACTCAAGTTTGCCCCTGTTCACATGAAACTGAAAGTGGTACCTGAAAGAGGTATAGGCACTTCCTGGAACTCCAAATCGTCCGTTTCCTGACGTATCATTGTAACGACCGACAGCTGACCTCTGCGACATCTCACAGACCTTCGCACCTGCGACCCAACCATCCCCTATAGAACTCATCCCTCAAAAAAACCGTCCACCAAACAAAACGGACACGTGCGAAACCAAGAAAAAGAGACACCACATGCATCCCAAGAGGGCCCTTCTTTTCGGCGTGGCGCCTTCTTTTCGGCCGTGACACTGTGGGGGGCCTCCGAAGCCGGCGACTGGGGCTCCAGGCTTCGTCCTCCAGGCGTAGGCCGTGCAAGGCTTCCAAAAGGTTCACGACTGCCTGGCGACGGGAAAGGTGGGGATGGACGAAGAGAGGTGCACCAGACCAGGCACAGCCAGGATGTGAAGACCCATTGAATAAATTTAGATCATTACATGGATCCTTCATACATCCTTCATGAATCTGGCCAGATGCATATGTTTCAGTGATACAAAAAGCATCAAAAAGCTATCGTCAAAAGAGCATGGCGGTGGGTCAAAGCAAGGATACCTTGCTTGACCTACCAAACGATACTTGCAGATTCTGTCGCTTGTTTGCGGCTCATGATGGATGGACCAGGGCTCCAGGTGAGTCGCTACCCATATATCATATATGACATATATATATGATGATGTCATGTTCAAGAGGTGCAAAGGTCTACAGTCTACAGGAGGGTCAAATGCCATTCACTTTCATGTTTTTGTGAGTCAAAGTCAAAGGGTCGGATTTCCTCCTCCGTGTGTTGTTTGAATACGCAAGAAGAGCTATGGTGGATGGGGAATGGTTCCTTTAGATTCATGTGTCAATCCTGTGACTTGCTTATTGATATGTTGTCCTTTGTTTGCCATGGATCTCTTTTGAACACGACGAGTTGCTCGCTCTTAATCTTGCTTCAAACAGTACGTAATGACGGAAACATCACATAAAATGCAACTTTGCTTGATTCAGAAACCACTTGTGCTTTTAATTTTTGGTGGTTGATCTAAATGAAATGGCTGTTCCATGGACCTGGTTGATCGATGCCCATTGGGATTCTTGGGACGAACCGAGTGTTTCGAAACCCCCACCTTCACGCCGAACCGAATCCTAAGACGAAGCGAGTCCGCGCGACTTCGCGCTTGGACGCACGGTGCACGGCAGCGGCCTGTACCAGACTCGAGTCTTCGTGCGCAGAGCGGCGGTTTGTCACCAGATCTCGCGCAAGGAAGGTTGAAGACAGTCGCTGAAATCAGCATGGTGGAATATGGTGGAGTTCCCACCATGTTTATTCGGTTTTATGGTCATTCAAGGAGCCATGCCATCCATGAAAGCACCATGATGATTTCAGGGGACTGTACTTTCAACCATCGCAGAAGCCCGTCCCATTCCGCCTTCCGCCTTGCCACGCCTGTTTCCCCGGTCCGCCGCGGACGTCCGCGCCTCCAGTTCCAAGCGCCAGGGTCCATATCCTCGCAAGCGCAAGGCCTAGTGACCGAGAGCCGGTAGGATGTGGGAGATGACTCAACGACGACCGACTGACCGGTCCTCGCCGGTGGGTGGACCTCACCGGCAGACCTGGAGAGGCAGACCTTTGGGGGAAAAGACCTCCGAACTGAACAGGCCGAGTCCAGGAAGGTGGACACCTTGAAAACAAGCTGGTCTTCCAGCAGGTTGAAGAACCCGAACTAGACTATCCTATAGGTACCCCTGGTTACGCGTCCTATTTACGGTCACTTAAGCTCTGTTGGTTGAGGCAGGCAAAGAAACGCCTCACCCAATACAACCATGGCGGAAGCCGCCAGGAATCGCCTGTTGAAGAAACGAAATGGACCACACGAAACCCATCAACACAAACACAAATTAAATATGGGCGATTGAACAAGGAATGACACATGGGATAGTACTTGCTGACAACTGGTGAGGATGACAACCCGCATCCATCTTCTCTTTTGAAGATTTATGGGCATGCGGGGAAGCACTACAAAAACCCTCTTCTTTCAGAAGTCCCACCACTACACATGAATAGCACACAACTTGGAGCACTAGAATGCATGCTGCGCAGCAACTCTGTTTCCGGCGAGTTTCGCACATCGCATGATTGTAATCAGCCACTTTTGGACCGATAAGCACTCAGCAACGTAGTACTGAACGGAAGGCCAAGCTGAGATAGGAGTCTTGGCAGTGTTCGTTGGTCGCTTGCTGTGGACAAATCATCAAAAGAACATCCCAGGTTGATGCAGGAGGAAAACACATAGTCAAAACAATGTCACCACCAATAAGTCACAAACATATAGTAAATATAGACTGAATGAACGTAAAAATAACTTCCCGCAACTCACCTTGGAAAGTTCTGGCAAGCTGGGAAAATACTCCCTGCTACAGGGATGTCCAGCACAAAAACCAGCAACTTTCCATTGGCCAACACCTGAAATTGAGGTGATCTTCTATATACGGCATGGTGTGGTTTGCTGCCAAAACTCAGGCGCAAAGATTTCAAACACCGGCAAAACACAAACATCTCTTAGATCGGCTGGCAAACACACTTTTCCAAGCAATCCACCTGCCAAATTGTGCTTGAAAATGTCAAAAAATATCAAGCTACAAAGCCCATCAACTACATGAGCACACTCACGTCCTTATAACTTGCCATCCTGGTAATTGTAGCCGTAGCGTGACGACTTTCCATCCTGGTAGCTGTAGCTGTAGCCTTTTGAATAGTATTGGCGACGGTTCCTGCGATCAAACCTGCGCTGCCTTCGGATTCGACGCTGATACTGATACTGATAGGGCTTCTGGGTAGAAGCTGGCGCTGTTGTTGTCACGAGCATTTTCTTTGTTGAGGTAATTATCATTTTCTTGGTTGAAGTTCTGATTCTCGGGCCGGGGGGTTTTGTCTTTGAGGTAGTGGTAGTAGTCGAAGTCGTTGTTGTTGTCGTCGTGGTGGTGGTTGTAGTCGTGGTGGTGGTCGTGGTCGTGGTCGTGGTCGTGGTCGTTGTTGTTGTTGTTGTTGTCGTGGTGGTGGTTGTAGTCGTGGTTGTGGTCGTGGTCGTGGTCGTCGTCGTGGTCGTGGTCGTGGTCGTGGTCGTTGTCGTTGTTGTTGTCGTGGTGGTGGTGGTCGTCGTGCTTGTTGTGGTTGTGGTTGTCGTCGTGGTTGTCGTCGTGGTTGTCGTCGTGGTTGTCATCGTGGTGGTTGTTGTGGTCGTTGTCGTAGTTGTGGCGGTTGTCGTGGTTGTTGTCGTAGTTGTCGTGGTTGTTGTCGTTGTTGTCGTAGTCGTGGTGGTTGTCGTGGTCGTGGTGGTTGTGGT